CCGCGCGGTTTTATTGCCGGCTGTGGTTTGATCTAGACATGCAACTAGACTGCTGTCCTATAACTACACTGCTTAAACTACGACTAAGTACACAAGTTTTGATGTCCACCACATACCATGACGGGCTTATTTGGCTTATTTTTCTTGCCTCCTAAACGTGAACTTAATTCGCCTTCTCCCTTCGCTTCGCGAGCCCTTCCTATTCAAATTGGAAGCCTAAATATATTTTATAGCTTTTAAATATGCTTGCGAGCTCAGACTTGTCTTGCGCAAACGCTATATAGATGCCACATCTTTGGGGCCACGCGGACATGAGGGCCGACAGGTAACATGCTCGCTCGTTCGTCCTGTGGCTATAGGGGCATACGAAGGGCATCTATAGTAAACTGCAGTGCATACCGTGTCAGCCCCATGAATGAACAATAGGGTCTTCTGGAACAAGGCACAATCATGTGAGCACGAGGAAGCAGTCGTGAATTTTTCAGCGCCGCGCCACGTTCTTGCCAGTCATTTCCACATCCCCCTTCTGTTTCTCCCGCCATGTCTTCATTTAGTTCTAACTTCCTTTGCTTTTATTTCACCATTTGCCTGTTTGTGGTTTGCTCCTTCTTGTCTCGCCTTTTTGTTTATACGGCGTATGAACGTGCAACGGTAGTTGTGGAGTGACCAGAGCGGGTCAATAATGGAATTCTCTTGTCCTTTCTTTTTTCTCCACTCCACAGTTTGTCGTGCCTCAAGCATACATCCGTCGTATACTAGTTTACCACCGGCAATTCAAAACTAGGAGGCTCTTTTTGTAGCCGTAGAGCTTCTCCTCGCTTGATCAACGCATACTCTTTTTAAAGGCGAAAACCTTCCGAAAAATAAAAAAAAAAGATCCTGTGTCCAGCGTTAGAAACACGAACGGTACCGAAATTGCTTTCTGAGACGTCACGCTGCAATGCCATCACGACGCAGCATATCTGTACGATTCCTAGTGTCATCAATGAAGTCATGTCACGAGGTCATCACGTGGCATCGTCGCTCGGTCAAAAGTGCGCCGATGCCGGTGGAAGTGCCACACCACGCGAGTTGCAGAAAGCTGTAGGAGACAGGCACTATGCGACCAACCGAGAACGCCAAAGCTCTTAAAACGAGTAGGGAACGAACACAGGTGTAGCACTAAGGCGACAAGGCTGGCAAGGCACATTTGACAAAGATAGGTCCTTCTATAAAAAAACATCGGACAGCCTGTACGAGGCACTTCCTCCAGCTCATTAAACCCATCCGCACTCCGTGTTTCCATCCGTCGCCTTCCAACTTGACTTTAGGTTTGTGCAATTATCTGATGCAGCCAAACATACACAGTAGTGGTTGTACAAGTACATTGCACTAATATGCACATGAATGTATTTATTTGACTTTTCCACAACCAAGGGTCCCAAAACGGGGCATTAGATGAGAAGCGGAGACACAAAAAGTTACATCAGCTTAAGCAGTATACTTATTCTACTTAGACGACATGGAATTTAAATCTCGTGGTTTAGCGCCTCACAGAAAGACGCCAATAAAATGGCGTCTCTACGACAGGAAAAAAACACACAAGGTATAAATAATACATTGAAAAAGTCATCGTTTGACAAGAGCTATTTTATTACATATATATGCCATTTATGTTGTATGAGACCACACCATTACACTGTCACAGACAAAACCACACATCTCTTGGTTAGCACTACTCGTACATTTTCCAACAGCTCGTCACTGTCTTCTTCTGCTTGCGACTTTTCTCCAGCAAACTAGCTATTGGTCCTGCCATCCGCCATGCACAGTCCACGATGTCACGTGTTTTAGTTGATTGCATTACTTTCCCATTATGAAGCACTATGTTCATCACTGCGGAAACTGACAATGACCCTCCCGTTCTCGGCGTTGCTGAGGGGACTGAAGGCAAATTCTTCGGTCTTGTTGGCCGAATAACTTATGGCACTCCCTACCTCGGCCTGAAGATCGCAGAGGTAAAGAAGCTGGCCATCATGATTTGTAAGGCCACCACAATCGCTTTAGAGCTTCCATTCACGGCTTACTGTGAAAGTACTGAAGATGGCCGTGCGCAATACCTGGCAGGAACTAGCCGAAGCACACAGGGCTGGCCAACTAGAACAGCTAAAGCTCTCGCCCACTGGAAGATCAGCGCTACAACAGTTTAACTATAGCGAAACCTTTATAAACGATACAGACGCGGACTGAAAAGAAGGAATTCCGCCAAACATCCGCAAATTTTCTGTATTGCACGTATCCCGCGTAATATGCACCCCACACATCACAAGGAAAGAAGGAGGGCACGAGTGAATGCCCTACGACGAAATCACAGCCAAGATCTGGATGCCAAATATACAGACGCAGCCAAGTATCCTGGCAGAGACGCCTACGCTTTGAGCGTCGTTGATACTCGGGGTGTAGAGCTCGCATCTACCACAGTACGCACCCGAAGCCCAGAAACTGCAGAGGAGGCGGCAATTGCCCTAGCTACTACAACGTGCCTGGATGCAGCTGCGGTATTTACAGATTCTCAAGCAGCCATGCGAAACTACTGCAAAGGTCGTGTGTCTACTCAAGCAATTCAGATATTGAAGCGCCGAAGCACTCCGATGCCGTTCACCTGTGTGACATGGGTTCCTGGGCACGAAGGGCTGGAGGGAAACGAGGCGGCTCACGCCGCGACCCGGGATAATGGCTACCGGGCTATCCCGTCCAGCTTTCTAGACGCCAGGACTACGTCCGCGGAGGTTGAGTGTGTACCGAACACTTACTCTGCAATACTGCAGCACCATAGGCTGGCGCGCACAGAGTATCCACCACCACACTCGAAGCTCAACAAAGAGGACAGCACCATACTGAGAAAACTGCAGAGCAACCCATACACACACGGCAAACTATTGCACCAATTGTACCCAACATTACATGAATATGTTTGCCCAATTTGCGCCGTACCTGAAATGCTGGCCCACCTGATCCTTGAGTGTCCATGTAATGCACATACAGACCTATCGCCTCCACCGAATACCTGCGGCGCTGTTCAAGAAAACAAACACTTTCTCGAAACGCGGGAGGCCAAGCTCGCCTTGGAGGACCTATACCAACAACGACGTCTCGTTGCCAGGGCCAAGAAGGTAGCGAAGACCAGAGGATTCCTGGAATGAGTTTAGGTTCCGCGTCCCACCCAAGGTGGATGCGGAACCTAAACCGCTACACCGTTTCAAAAAATGAACGTTTATTTCTCCTCCCCCTCCTCCTCCTTGTTGGCCCGACAGGTTTGCGTAGCCCGATGTATTCTGCAACTTTCGACACTTACCGCACGCGTTTTAGTGACCGATTTCAGTCGCGGATACTTAGTAATTCCACCAATTTGTCATGGACGAAACCTTACAAGATCACTTGGTTGGCACTGGTAGGCTGGTTGGTTCCCGCACATCTTGGCGCCACCCACTCCAGGGGATGAATCGGACGGTGCCATGCTTGGTGGCGATGTGACTTGAAGAATTCGAAAATTTCCAAGACGCCACTACTCCTGCACATTTTACTAGACAACACGTCGTTGTCTTCTCCGGCGATTACGCGAAGCTGCTTTCAGTCGTATAAAAGTCGTGGCAATGTATTGCAAGCAGCTGAGAAACTAACTACATACTCATTGTCAGTTCGTGCACATACATTTAGGTACATACACGTTTCAGCAGTTTTTTCCCTCTCTTTGTGAAACAGAAGTAATACTTATTGTTCACGCTTGTTTCACTTGAGCTTTATCGAAACACACCCCTTATCTTAAGTTGCCTCAATGTGCGCCCCCCCGCTGAGCAGAGGAGCTGGCATCGATGCACTCTACCCTTACCCGCTGCAGTGAGCCACCACGCGTATTGTTGGCCTATAATTACCCCTTTGATGATGTTTTTGAGGCTCATAAGAGCAAAAATTGCGGTAAAAGCATGCTTCAGTCGCCCATCCGAGACAGCAAGGCCCCCGAACGTAAAATTTTTAGGCGCTTCTAGCAAAATTTGACATTTTATTTACGGTAGTCATTATTATTCCTGTTTCGCACTTAAGTTGTCTGTTGGTGCTCGGCACATTGTTTACTGCCTCCTGCGCGCAACGTGTCTGTAAGAAGTAAAATAAAAAAGCAATCACACTAAACGAATATTAAAAACAAGAAAAGAAAACTAACGATAACGTAAAAACAAAAAATTTAAAATACGACATTAAGGCTATGAAAAATTCGAAAACAGGGCGTGGTTTTCGGAGCCGACATTTCGACAGGCGGACTCGTATGTTTCAGAGCTGCAACTGTTTTCCTAAGCGCTCGAGTTTTATACAAGCGCCAATTTATTGTTTTATTTCAGCTTCTCTTCAAAGGACACCATACAAATTGTTGAAATTTCCGGAGCTCTCCACTACGACATGCCTGGTAATCTTGTCATGGGTCTCGCACGTAAGATTCTTAACGGTATTATTAAGTTTGGTTGCTCCAGCAGAATCTGCCAGAAAATTGTTTAGGAGAGAGCTGTCACACGAAAATCAGCGCGAACCTTAATGAAGCGAAGACATGCAGAGAAGTAGTACGGTGCTAAACTCTACACGAAAGGAATGTAAACTTTACAAACGGCAACACCACGCTGACTTAGTCGATCAGACCAGATCAAAGAACTTTATTAAGGGCCTTGCGAATTCGTTGGATGGGCCTTGATCATGCCTGAGTTTCATGGTTTCAAAGTTATATTTGAATTGCTTTATGATCCATTTTGGCGATGTAAATTAAAGATTTTCAAAATTTCTAAGGTGTTACTTTCGTGTTTTTCCTTACAATTTCAATCTTGTCCGTCTTTGCCAAGGAAAACTAATCAGGTGGACTTCGAAATAACGCCTCTAAGATCTAACTGATGCAAACGAAAGGTAAACGTTCATTCAGTCAGGAGCTACGTCTGACGAACAGAGATGAGGTAAAAGGAGAAAAAACAAGAGAAAAGCTCCGAAGTCTAAAGAAAAAGATATAAAACCTTCGTTTTATTACCACCATGATATATCTAATTCAAGATACGCCAGTTTCACATGTATCACCCAACAGATGTGGCCTGACTGACCACGTCCGCAACCACTAGGATGATCTTGCGACGAGAATCAATGCACGCATTTGTGCGGTGCTCGAGCTTCGCGTCCCTATATGAAAAATCCCGCCGGGCGATGGCTAGAAAAAGGTGTGCCAGTGTTATTTTGATGCGTACTTGTTTTCTTTTTCGTGGGTCCTGTCGGTGCCTGAAAGGTAAGGAAGCTATGGTGTACCACGAAACGTAGCAACCGACATGTCGTTGACAGATATCTCTGCTCGATCTGGAGCAGCGTTGACGAGATGCTTTACCCGTGGCCGCAAACAACCACTCTTTGACGTACGAGCAGCCACAGCCTTCGCACAGCGGCCAGAAATTTCCGCCACAGGGGGAGTCCTGCGGATTAAAAGACAAAAGCTGCAGAACTTGTCATGCGAGATAGCCAAATAAATGCCATTCGAGCTAAAAACGAAAAAGACTGTTTGAGTTGCATTTTCATAATTATAATGATTGTATATGTAAAGTTGGTTAAACTATATCCAAACCTGAAAGCTCTTTCCAAATTATGAGAACCTCCCAGCTAGCCTAACAGCTACGCTTACAGTTCCTGCGCAAACTCGCAATCAGAGGTATCAAAGCAGCATAGCTCACTGTAAACGAAAACTGATATGTGAGATTTAACGGCCCGAAACCCCCATATATGAGAGGCGCCGTAGTGGAGGGATCCGGAAATTTCGACCACTAGGGGTTCTTTCACGTGCACCCAAATCTGAGCACACGGGAATACAACATTTTTACTCCATCGCAAATGCAGCCCCTGCAGCCGAGATTCGATCCCGCGATCAGCAGGTTAGCAGCCGAGTGCCTCCGCCACTAGACCACCGCGGCGGCGCGTAAACAAAAATCAATCGCGATGGGAGTTTTCCCATCGTATGAGCCCTCAAAACTCCGATGTCCCAAGAATTTACTCCTCCGTAGTAGAGTGGAGTTGGCACATGTCATCGTAAAACATCCCATGCTTAATGATAGAGTTCATGAACGACATGGCCTTGTTAAACTCCCCAAGGGGGTCCAAGGTCCAAAACTCCCTGTGGAAGTTAAGAAAAACATTTTTATTCGTGTCGAGCGCGCGCGCGCGCGCGTGTGTGTGTGTTTGTGTGTGCGCGTGCGTGCATGCGTGTGTGTGTGTGTGTACACGGCGAGCACGGCGAGCCTTGTGTGGGTCCCCATGTGAGCATCTGTCGACCGACAACGAAATTATCAGTGCAGCGAAGATTTACAACGGCCGGTTGCGTCAACGTGTCAAGGTCTTTCGCACCGTTGAGCCACGCAAGACCTCGGTACGATGCCTTACCGAAACGCCGCGAATACCTCGCTTCGATGTGCCCAGTTACAGAGAATGGCGAAGAATAATTTCAGTAGTGACAAAAATGAGCTATTGTGTCACGGTTGCCTCTGAAATTTCACCACCTAATGCATCGAAGCGATACGAAGTAGGCTTCGCTGGACATCGGCAGCAAGCTGGCCGGCGGCCGGTGTGAGAGCTGCGCCGGCGACGCGATGGCCGGACCACCAGCGACGAGGGCTCCTTAAAGTGTCCCCAGTGGCAGTGAGTAAGCCTCGCCACGTCGTCGGTATCGATCCGGCGACGTAGCGAGATCGCACTATATACCACCGCAGCCGCCGTGGCGAGTTCTACGAGCTCGCACCGGTCGCCAGGGAAGCAAAGAATGTATGTCACAGAAAAAAATAAGGGCTGCTCCAATGAATAATAGTTTAATATCTTTCCTCTGCACCATGCAACCACAGGTGTTAAACGATTAACGCGAAGGCGAGCGCCAATTCGAGGCACGAGGTACACAGAACTAGCACACAGCCGCCCATGCACCTGCATTTAGCATGAACCAACTGCGAACCGATTCGTTCGTTTAGCTCTGTCACTCCGTAGAATGAGGCGCAGTTCGCGCTGAGCATTTCTGACAGGCTCTGTGGTGGAAAACCGAATGAAACGAAAGTGAAAACCAGATGCGCGCGGCAATATCCTCGGCGATTGAAGCATGGCTACGCCGTCCGAGCGGCGCGCCGTGGTCAGGATGAGTGTTGTAATATTGTGCGAAGGGTGCGTGTATGTTTGGGTGCGTGTAACAAATAATATGTGCCTCAACGGTAATAAAATCGGACGTGTATGTTTGCGCACTAAGAGGGTGCAGATTTTTTTTTCCCAATGAATGTAACCATTTACTCCCATATACTTACCTGAAAAAAGTTAGCCAATGGGTATGGATAAACACTCCCCCAACTACATCCGAAAACCCCGTTCTGTTGGGGAAGAAGGGACGGTAGGAAAATAACTGCTGGTCTGTTGGGGAGTAAATGTTTTACTCCCAACGGACAGTGTTAATAAAACCCCTATATACCTGAGCGTGCGCTGGAGGACGAGTCATTTACGTTCATCCCGGCTTATTTCCGTTTATAGTGCACATACGATGTATTGAAGATAGCATCGTTAATGAAACAGCCGACGTCCTCAGCGGTCAAACAAATTGTTAGGTGGATTTTCGCTTTACGTTTATTATCCGTCCTGATCAGGCCAATCAATGTGCGTGCACCAAGGTGCTATACACACAGCTTCTCAGCAGTAAAGCTACGTAGACAGTGCGCTTACGTTGGAGGCGGATGAAATATCGAAAGAGCCCTACTTGAAGTAAGATTTTCGACGGGCCCCATCGATAATTCATTTGATTCACACGCGAGTAGGAAAACTTCCCGGCTGACATGAGTGCGATGAATCATGCGCAGAAACCGTAAGCGAATCACCACACTATCTGCGCACCGTTATACTCTAGGTAAGACCTAAACTATATCGTTAACACAAAAGCGTTACATTTCAATGGCTCCTAATTGAGCTTTCCACCCTAGGATGCGCTTGCCAGCTCACTATGCGAGCTTAATGACAATCAGCGTACACGTCAGACGCAACCTTCTTATTATGCAGATATTAGGATATTTGCAATAGCATTTCGACTTGGGCGAACTGGTACATATTCGGATAGTCTTCAGCACAGTTTGGACGAAGACCATCTGTGTTCTGTGTGTGTCATTGGTCTTCGTCCAAATCGCGCTGAAGCTTATCCGAGTAAGATATTTACCTTATAGCGACATTGTTTCATTGTCACCAATAAACTACAGGTATCTGCGCGAACGCACGGGACTTTTTCAAACACCCTCAAGTCGCCCAGAGACGTAATGCCAGAGTGATACGCTGCAGGTACTATATTCAACTTTCGGGCAGCCGCAACAATAGTCGGTTGCGTGGCCTAAACAGATGGTCTCGACTCACCTGTTCGCGACACTTTGTACAGGTGTGTACAGCGGAAGGACAGCCTTCCGCGGAAGCTAGAGGTTCCAGTCGGCGTCAGGCTGCTGACCGGAAGCGTCTAGCGTGGCCATCAGGTCGGACTTCTTCAGACGCTTGCTCGAAGGACCTGCGGGAAAAGCACGAACACCAGACGCTGATGCAAAGACGAAAGGAGAGGAGAAAAGAAAGGACAGAGAGGTTAGCCAGTTCTCAGACTGCCTGGCTTTACTGAGCCACGGGGAAAGGCGTAAGGGGAATAAAAGACGATGAAAGAGAGAAGTTACAACAAGAAATGAAGAAAAAAAACAACATTATACCACACTTCTTAAAGTCTTTCTGTGAGACTACAGTTGTCCGAAGGATAATGCAACAACGCTCTCAGAGCTTTCCGTGACGAGGACGGTTTCAGCCGGTGACCTAAGGCTTTTCCCTCCCACAATGGGCGATTGTCAAGTCTATCGAACACTTTTGAGAGTTCTTTCCGCGGTGCACTGAAGCGAGGGCACACACACAGAATATGGGCGACTGTCTCTTCGACACTGCACTAATCGCATGACGGACATTCCGATGCGAAACGACCAAGCCTTCGTGAAGGCCACCTCGAGCCACAGGCGGCGCAGTTCTCAGCTCTAGTTTTTCCCGACGGAGGACGGAGCTGAAGGGACACGTGGGACAAGTATAGTCGTGGATGGCGAGCGCTTCCGTGGTATAACGGACTGCATTTGGCCTCCGAGAAAAGCCGTAGGCCAAGGAGCGCGTGCGACCTCAGCCATCTTTAGATAATGATAGCACTTCTCAAATCGGCCGCTACAACTAACGGTGCTCCATTCACTGTCGCACCGGTGTGGGAGAAGAAGACTGCATGTCCAACGGCTTGTTTGGTCGACCATTGGATGGCGAACATACGTTTGGACGACGACTTATGACACGAACTCGCTGGGTTACATATCAATGTTGGCAGGCGGCCGATCTGACGAATCCATAGCGATGCGCATTAGTAGTCTACGAGTAGCACCGCAAGACGACGTATACAGACAAGGAGCTTAAAATGTTCAAGATACGCGAACGGAACTCTTCCCATGGCACCCCCCCCAAAAAAACACAAAATAAAAACAACAACAACAACACCCACTAACTTAATCAAGCCAGCAAGAAAGCAAGTATTTCAAATGAAAAAAAAAAAAGAACGCATGTCGCCTGCCTACAATACAGCTGCGGCCCAAAAGATTCAGTTACTAAACAAGTAGGTTGTACCGTTCAGTCACACACAGTAACGCTACCACCCAAGAAAATTTCTTCTTGAAAACAACAAACAAAAACTAGGGTAAAAACATGTCCGCGTTGTCACACTGCAGACGGAACCAGAGCAGCCATCGGTATCCCCGGGCATGAGCGACCGGAAGTGCAAACTAAAGCAGAGTGGCGTTCTAAAACTGACTAGGTTCGTAGGCGGAGACAAGTCATACAGCTGTGTAGGCACTCCTAACGAGAAAGTTTGGAAGCCGCAAGAATGCGAGCAGGGTCGAGGGTGTAACCTCGACCCTGCTCTTCTTACGGCACGACAAATGACCCGTGTCCACGATCCCAGCTGTTATAAGAGAAACGGATCGCTTTGCGAAGACCACAGCCACACCAGTGCCACAGTGAACGCCACTTTGACCGGCACAAGGAGACACGCAGACCCAAACACGGGAACGAAGCAGCCGTTACGTACGGCCAAAGACGCGTCACCTCTTCCAACACTTCCGAGAATCGCGTGTTACCCAGACACGAAAGTTGAGGAAGGGGAGCTCCGCCTCTTCCAGTTGCGACCTCCGCGAGGCCACGCGATTTCTCCCGAGTCACTGATGAGCGGGTGTCGAGCCCGCGACATCGAGGCACTCAAGCGCGGCTGACGCGCCCACACTTCCTCGGGTGACGGGCGGCGTGTTTAGCCAAGTGCTAACAAGATGTTGCTCGCCGTCCTGCTGCTCGTGTCTCAGACTGAGGAGGGCGGGCTGCAACCCTGCACTCGACCCCGCTTCACTTCCCCGCCTCCTTGCACATGCCGAGGCAGAGCGGATCATGCAGCGAATGCAAAGAGAGGGGGGCCACGTGTAGATGTCACACCGAAAACCGCAGCACTTCACAACACACACACACACACACATTATATATATATATATATATATATATATATATATATATATATATATATATATACATATATATATATATATATAGAGAGAGAGAGAGAGACTGTTGCGGTAGCTAGTGGTGGAGCGTCGAACGCGCTATTCGAAGGTCGCAGGTTCGGATCTTGCCCACGGCAAGTTATCTATGCGCCGAGGTCCCTATATATTTATTTTTTCCCTTTTATGATTGCTACTTATGATTCCATATTCTTGTTTTAACACGCTCACGCACTTATATAAAAATTCAAGTCGTATTTAAAAGAGAGACGCCTTCACCGAATTATAGCAGACGCGGAAGTGATCGAACCCGCAAAATCCATGGCGAGCAGCGCTAACACCAAGATCAGTGAACTGCTTCATGTATAAAAGGCGGTGCAGTAAGACAAACCTTTCTTTGTACTATACGGAACCGCTTCTCCGAAAAAATAATTGAATGACCTCGGCATATCAGAGTTTTTCACCTCACGAATCGATCGATCGCCGCAGAAGTTTTCTACAATACCAAGAACGAGCCGGGTTGCAGGGATATGCGGGACGCGCTTGTCTCTCTTTCCTCGTGCCGACGAACACGCCGGAAGCTACTTCCGCAAGCAGGGACGGCACGGGGCAAATAAGCTGCGTTAGCGGCGCGCCACCAAACGATAACTTTCTCCAGCTGCTATTCGTGTGCGCTCTAGTGTTGCTAGTGTAACTTTTAGCACACTATATAGAGCGCGGCACCTGGCGACTTCTCGTGGCCAGATGCGCACCTGATCTAAACGCCACCACTGACAGTTGTGATCAGCCAATAGCAGCCGCCTTCTGTGCGACGACATACAACTGGCGCCCCGCCCACTGAAGGGAGTATACGGACGGGGCCTCTATAAAGAGAGGGTACTTCAGAAAGTGGGAACTTTGCATCAGTTCGTAAGCTCCATTTGTTGCACACGGCTAGAAATATTGCTGAACTGCGCACAACAGTGTGCACTCTTCATAGAACACGCTTTCTCACCAAGGCATGCAGTGGTTTAACTCAAGACCCACATAACAGACCATGGCTGGAAAGGACCCGTACAACAGCAGGTGCATGGCGAATTTTCAAGACACGCGAACTATAGGAAGGACAAGTAACAAGCGATATTTACTTGCTGACCCCGCAAAAGCACGGCCGGCACACCCCATGCATGGCAGTAGAGAACGCGAGAGGCGCTATACTCGAACGAATGTACTTCACTTTCCGCGCGGGACGTGGCGGCCACTTTCACAGCAGTACCGAATTTCTACCGTATAGCTGGATTACCACAGAGCGGCAGCCATATACATGTGCTTCTATCTCATCCCGCTAGTGTCAAAGCGGCGCCGCTCGCAGCGGGACACAAAACTACAGAACCGCTTCCTCGAAAAGCAAGGGACGGTCCCTGCAACGTTCACCGTATGCAAAGTTCGCACCGACGGCAGATAAAAAAAATAAATAAACGTTACTTGTTGCGGTGGCCACCGCTATAGGCACGCAATATAACACGTTCTTGCGCTATCCCTGCATGCGTGCACCAGCAATGGAAGGCAAGCAAGCAGCAGTGAGCGAGGAACTCGGAAAGAAGGATACCACCCGCATATATACTACACGCACCCCGATGTCCCGTCGGTTGTTATACATATATCACGGCTCCGCAACCTCGCTCGTGCACCTCGGTCTTACAGGCGTACGGCTGCGCGAGGGTATCTCGACTGGCCGAGCAATATCGGCGGACGGGCCACTCCCAGAAGCTCGCCGCTCAGCGGGTGGGGATCGAACCCTCCTCTGCATTTCACCGCCGCGAAGCGCGCGCCACGCAGCCGCACACGTTATATCGGACGGGAGCCGGTCGCTTTCGGCCGCGCTTACAGGGGCCAATGGAGAGCACGCCTGTATGGGAACCAACCGGGTTCGGTTTTAGTTGCGCGCACAACGATGGAAGGTGCGTCTCGATGCACGCTTGGTATTGCGGTCGTAACAAGAAAATCTTGAATTGTGGCGCTCATGTTGCACGCCATAGGCAGAAGCTAGGAAGAAGCGAAAAATAAAATAAAAAAGAAGTGCCTGTGCGTTGATTGGTTATTACAGACATGCCTTAAGACAGCATAATATACAAGACAGAAAGCGCCATTCGCAGCCACACGGGACACAAGGTGGCTGCTGCAGTGGACGTCGCATTTTGATTCGCGTTACAGGAACAATTATGGCCCACTGTTGATCAACACCTGACACACAGTTCTTCGTGTAGCCGATGGTATTGCGCGCAAGACCAATGCTGCACCATCGAAGGACTGTAAGACTTGCGTCGCTCATGAGGGCATCGCGCGTGCGCCTCACGGATACCGCTGTCAAAGCGTAATGATCAGCTGAAAGCACACTGCACGCAAGTAAGAGTGTCGATAGGCGGGCGCATGCCTCAAGGGCGCGTCCAGGTACATTGAACATGCACACAAACGCACATTCGAAGGAGGAGGGCCTCGGCGCCATGCGAGAAATCGCCACAGGCTGCGCGGGAAGATGCGCAGGCTTCTCCTTATTCCTCGGTATACATACGTGCACGCTCTTCGAAGGGCAGCTCATCTATATACCGCGCAGTCGTTGCCGACGGGGGCTGGATTAATGGGGCCGCCAACCGCGGGCCCGCACTGATTTTCTTTAGTCCGTCCGGTATACGAGGGACCAAGCTCCGCGCCCTTCCCTGCCCAACCAACGCACCATCTGACTTTGGCGCAACTGCAGCTTGCAATCCCGTGAACGGCCTTCTTGCGGCTCGACTTCGGCACCCCGGCGACTTACATGGGAACAGCGGCGGCGCGGCGCGCCTAGCTCTGTGTCTGCGCGATGGTTTATAACCTTAACTTCCGTGTAAAGACTTGCTCGCAGTGTTGCAAAACCTGGTGGTCGTGTCAGTTGATCGGAAGTGTCAGCGAAGATCAAATGATGGAGCTAAGGCAAGGT